TTGGATTACCTTTTTTTTGATACACCCTGTAGTATATTTCGCGCCAAAACACACTTGCGACGACGAAAAGTAATTAACAAATAATCAATAAAAAAAACAAAACAAAGGAAAACGGAGGCGAATTTTCAACTCCGTCACTCACGCCGGAGTAATAAGGATTTTCTTTCAACAAACCTCAATCTGCTGAAATGGATTGCGTATATAAAGAGGCCGTGGAATCAATAATACAATTTGTGTAATCATTTTTATACAATACGTGCAATATTGCACATAATTTTGTACAATACGTGCAATATTGCGGAGTCAGTGTTCATTAATAACATTTTGAAAGATTAAAAATTAAAGACCGCTTAATAGCATGAAGTTCATCAATATCGACATTAGATTTTATTATCATGTGTGATAGAATGCCAACATGTAGCTAGCACCTTGAGCACAGCCACAGACATCCAATGTAATTGTACATAATTAAGAAATAGAAACCAATAGTTCATTATTACCTAGCTAAGATAATCCTATAATATTATGGTAATTAATAAACACTATATATAGGTTTCTATCGGCTATCTGCAACTTAACCGCAGCAGCCAAACGGGGAAGATTTCTGTGACCGGAGTATAGATTCCTGGACATTACTATTGGGTTTTCTGGTTATATATAACTCAAACTTGATTTATGTGCAATATCTCCCACATGAATTCAGTCAGCTATGGTCTACTATGCATGCTGTGGCACTGGTTTCTGTTTGCTGAATGAAACTGAGAAGCAAACCTTTGTTTATTCCTTATATAATCCGTGGGAAAGTTAATTTGTAGCCCCGTTTACACTACACTGAATTTATCGGCACGGCACGGCTAAAATTGGTACCCGTGCTCAATTTTAATAGTGTTCAGGCTACCAAAACAAAGGCCGCGAACAGATGAAATGGGCACGGGTACCCATTTTAGCCGTGCCGTGCAAATAAATCGAGTGTAGTGTAAACGGGGCTTGTGAAGGCACGGCTAAAATTGGTACCTGTACCAGATTTTATAAGTGTTGAGGATATCAAAACAAAGGCCGAGGACAAATGAAATGGGCACGGGTACCCATTTTAGCCGTGCCGTGCCAATAAATCAAGTGTAGTGTAAACGGGGCTTAATACAGTATAATAACAGTTTAAACGGGAAAATACATTGAGATGTTAAAAATTATCAAAAACAAACCTCTTTAATTAGATAATAACAAATTGACTTCTAATTTACCTCTATATATAACAAACAGAAATAACGTAGAATGATGTATAGAATTCGCTGTGAAAAATGTCATTTGCTGCGGCAATAATTGCGATTGTTGAAAATATTCAGCTAAATGATATCAATCGAAATTCTTACGATCTTTTATAATCATAAGGTTGTTCTCTACTCAATTAGACCAATCAATATCAATATAAAGACCTTTTAGTTTCTTAATACTGCGTGCATACACTTATAGTTTTCCTCGTTTTCTTTCAGTCGGAGTTTTAATGTCTCTCTTTTATTAACAGAGGCCTATTTCCAAAAATGTCTCAACTATTCAATACTTTGATATAATATAGGTACTGTAGATTTCATCTTTCCAGCTTAAATAGTTGGTGCTGTAAATGCATGCCTTTGAAAACTATGTATTTGGAGCAACAAAATTGAATGACATGTGGACAATTAATCGCGCAAATGATCGCAGGATAAAATGCCAGAACTTTGTGATTTATCTTAACTATTTCTTTGTGAAATTTCCGTTCTGAACTTGATGTAGAAAATTGTTCCATCACTCCAGTCAAACGTTCGACGCCAGCGTCAAAGTTGAGGGTGCGTGGGTAAAAGTCTCAAAGTTGAAGGTGCGTGGGTAAAAGTCCGCATTGCAAAAGAACGCTTTGTTTACATGCATTCCACTGCCATATACTTCTTATGAAATATCGTGTCATCTCGGAGTATTTATTGCTTAAGGAATATAAAACATTTTCCGTGTTTCTATACAGTTATAGATGCAGGCGTGGGAATTTGTGGGAGAACGATAAGTAATCGGTGGGAATACGTTCCAAACCCCAATGAATTACAAAGATTTTTTCTCGGAACAAGATCAGGCTATGGCTAAGTTTGCCTTTGAACGCTTTAAATTCTTTTTCTTTCTTTATGTTGTGTGATTTATTTACGCACAGGTATATTGCAAGCTAAGAATTTTACATATACCCGTTCCGCATCTCAGTTTTCTGAGCATCAATAATGACACATCAAGTTTTTCGCCGTTTTCGAATAATTTTGACTAGGAGTAATGGTTCTCCTAGCCGGTTTATTTGTGTTACACAAAACGATATTTATGAATTCGAATACAACCAATTAATATTCCAAATATATTTGTGCTCAGAGAATGGTGGAGGCAAATTACCGCCACTTCCTACATAAAATTATTATGTTCGCCCACTAAAATTGCTATTTGAGATGTAAAGATCCTCTTTATATATAGTCTAGGACCTGTAAAGGAGTTTGTATCCATTTCATTTAGGACAGATTCTCTCAACTGTTTTAAGGTAAAATGACCATGGCGGTCAACATGGCATATGTGCCAAAATCTGAATCCGGGACTAAAGTCGTGAAAATGACAACACCCAGAAACGGCATAGTCGACATAGCTCTAAATCCTGAATTATCAAAGTTACAGACTTTCTTAATTTTTTATAAGGTTCAGAATGGTTGCTTTTAGGGCTGGAGGGTGAAATTAGCCAAAGCATATCAAACTCTCGCTATACAAATAGTCTATATCGCGTTACAAGCGAGGATACCCCCAGCAGTGCGCAATACAAACTCGTCCAAAATAAGCGCTTTTTCTGTTCGTGTGCCTTAGAAACTGAAGTTATCTTTCACTTACACACGGATTATTAAATTTAGACCTATGCCGCACATTCTTTATTGTTTTTGGTAAAGATTCGTCGTATCCCGGAGTCGGACTTTGGGGGTTGAATGTTGCGGGCTATATAAGAATATTGGTCAAAAATCGCCGTTTAGAGCGGAAGTTGCGGGAAAACTCCTCGTACTGCTTCCACTATACAATATTTCTTTTCCTTACATTCGGAATTGAAATTTACATGTTTTGGCGCGTATTTTGATATGAATTTCGTACATATTCAACGTGAATTAGCTTCGGACCGATGGCCATGAACTGTAGGTATTTTGCGACATTGGTCGGCATTTGCATATGTTGTTCACACATTAATGCAGTCTCTGCTGTTGGTGATGTGAACACAATCAGAATGGAGGCCCGACGTTTACTTACGAGATAAGCAGGCAAGAGAATTTTATATTTTTACCTTGTATGCTTTAATATAGTACTGTTTAATACCACAGTTGTGTATATTTTGCGTCGGCGCGCAATAAATAGCGTCGGCAATAGCCTACGCTGCTGCAGTACACATTAATGATTTTCTTATTGATATATTGTGTATATATATACATATAATATGCTGGAATAAGGGACATTAATATCGTTCACATCGGCTACCTGCGCGTGTAAGGGCGAATTTTAATCAAAAGGTTTTATTGTTATTGTTATTGTTATTATGGCCTCTATCGTCTATATTGATGCGGCGGCCAAAACACGAGGCTTTTCATGCTGAAGAAACGGGAAATATATTAACTTTGCCATAACCCATAGGGTCGCCATTCATCAAAACGCGAATCGTATCCTTTAAAATGCGTACGAACACGTTTATTTTCTTGATCATCTTTTTTGATTCTCAACTTCGTAGAGGTTATTGTCTTTCGCCTCCCGTTTAAATGATTTTTTTCCACATCGAACCGCAAATTCGTAGACAAAACGTTGAGGTTTGCATAATGTGCGCTTTGGTCTAGACACCATATTGTTTTACAAGGCGCGCATTTTGTAATAGAAAAAAACTGGACATTAGTTTGAGCAAATGTTCATCTCAATAGGGAAAGAGTTTGATATGTTTACTATTCCGGGTCAATTGCTAATTATGCATAAAATTACAGATTCACCTGGCAAAGACTAATTTTCCCTATTTTGTAAATATTTTTGCTATATGATGAAAAAACATGCGTATTTTAATATATTTATTATAAATTTCCTAGGAAATAACAATGTTTTGTTGCGATACGACGTATTTCATTTCACTTACACCCCCCCCCCTCCCCCACATAACACGATTTCAGCCAAAGTCATACAAACTCCTTTACAGGTCCTAGACTAATATATATCAGCTATACTTTAATTAATGAGATGTACAAAATTGCTAGTCGAGAATTTTGGGAGGAGGTGGGTTCAACTTCAAACGAGTTCTATCTTCTGCCATGTCACGCTGAAACTGACAGTTTGTGGTTTTGGCAGGCCTGTTCGTTTTCATGCACATTGCTGCTGGCCATTGACCACCTAACCCATATTGCGTTCATTCAAATACCTGTCGGTCTTTTAGATAAGGCACCAAGCCCAACAAATAAGAGTTTTAATTCTCGTCGTCAGGGCGTATCCCCTAGAGGGTACACCTTGCCTCGGTAGTCTATTTTATAAAATCAAATTAAATAGATATTCTTCGCAAAAATTTTGTTTAAAGAGAATTGTTAATTGTGTCATAAATATAGTCGCTCCGTTGACCCAAAATGCACATACCTTTCATTTCTGTGCATGGCTGTTTTATTTCTGTTATAATAATATTTCAAGCGACCCCGTTAGGCCACATGGTGCTCAGTCCGTGCATTTACTATCACCAGAGAAACCCCCTTCTCGAAGCAAAATCCTCACGAAATCTCCGCTGCATGGAGAAAAGGTTATTTATTCGCGTGGTATAATATTCGGGGTTTGCGTCATGTGTAATTTTTTTTCCAATTGACGTTCTCGATGTTGATTATTCATGTCATCGTTTTTGATAGGAATATCATATAGAATATAATTCATAGTTGTTTTGAATGAATAAAGCTCAATTCAATTTGTGTATTCATGAGAATTAAAAACCAAATCATAAAGAGGAACACAAAAAACTGAAATCGCCTTTTTATTGCTAATTAATGGGATATTTTGCGATTGCAAAAAAATCTTTCAAATACTACAAGTCCCATGCAGGTTTATGTTTGCTAATACTATTGCCCAATAATCAATATATGTATCACATCAAGTTCTAAGAAAAGTCCAGATCATTATCAAAGAAAAGTTCTTATTTGCATTATCCTCAACGTCCACAATCGGTTTTCAGGTATTTCTTGAATCGGTCAACGAAGTAATGACAGTTGTTGCTGAACAGCCTGTACCTGCCGTAGCGTAGACGATAATTTCGGGTCCAGGTCTCTGCATCGCTCAAGCGGCATTTGCTCGTGCCTTTACTACGCTTACTCCAACGTATTCCACATTGACTTGGGCTCCGATCCATTTTGTAGGTTTTCGGACTTCCCAAACCCCACTCAAAGATCTTTCCACGGAACAGGATCATGCTATGGCGAAGTTTCCATTTGCCCCAAAACCGTTTTCTGCCTTTAAAGAGACTTGTTGTGCCATAAAAATAGTCACTTCGTTGACCTATAAAATGCATATTATGGAGTTTTAAAAGAGACAACGAGTATTGAACTGTTAATTTCTTTTGCATGTTTGTGATTTTATTTCTGTTATCAGGGAGCTTTACAAGTCTTAGTGCCTACGAGTACGACTATACAACGAGCACGTGATTCGTCAATCTCGCGCGTTGTTTGCTTGCACTATCAGCTAAAACTCGTAGTCGTGGGACTTTGGAGTACGAAATTTACCAACAAACTCGTTATCATTCAATGGATGCATTATATAAATGCATCTACATGCATCTACTTATTTATCAACGAACGCGTTTGAGACGCCGACGACCGGAATTGTAAGAATCCGCAACTACGCAAATCGCAGTAAATATTTTCTTATAAGATAACCATTATAAAGCATCCTACCATTATTTCCGTATTGTGATTTTGGGTAGTTGCAACTGCTTTGTCGACGGCGACGGCGACGCCAAAACAAAGATTCGATGAAAGTACATTGAATCAGAACAAAAACAAGGAGTATGAGGGCAACTGTGTGGCTCTTCATCACTTTCTCCTTCTCCAATCAGCTTTCAAGGACTGAAAAATATATCAATAATTTTTATTGCATACAGATCCACGCAGTCAATAAAAATACCATTAAAGACTCGCTTACACTTGTGTGCGATTTTCTTGTTTTAACGGATGCTAACGAGTAATTAGTTACGCATGCTCTGATGTATAAGAGCCCATATTTAAAGATCAGTAATTAAACCACTCGTTCACATCCATCAAAAGAAGAAAATCGCACGTTGAAGTGAAATTTAGTAAATTATAACGAGTTCCGGTTTTGATTGTTAAAGTTTTTGTCGCCATTGGCATTGCTGAGTCTCACTACGCAATAATAATACGACCGAACACTGCTTTTCGTAAAAAAATAAATGCGTTATCTATTGTTTTGGTCGATCCGGATAAAAAATATTTCCCCTTGGTCTCAAAAAGGTACCTCAGCCTGTCGCCTCAGCTCGTTTTTCATACCTCGGGAGAAATATTTTTATATCCGGACTTCGCGTCCGGTAAATAACATATATTTATTTATTATTATATACACAAGCGCCAGATATGAGGTATGCTCCAATTTCATTGGTTGGCTACTAGACAGATATTAGCTCATATCTGTCTAGTAGAGAAAGTAAACAAAATGGCGGAAAGATTTGGGGAGTTGAGTGAAGTAGAAATCCAAGCCTAGTTGATAATAGCACACGAAAATGCACCGAAAGGGCGACAAAGTTTGGGTATATGAATACACGCCTGGTCGGCTATCAGCTGATATACGACTCGAGTTCGCAGAATAACTGTTAATTAATATAATTACTAATTAGAAAAAAATACATATACATGCATGCAGCATCGCAGTCATTTCAAACCAAGGACGCAATTTACTGAATCAGCCCGACCAAATATACTTTTATGAGAAATGACTGAAAGCTCAAATCAGTCTATAGCTAATAATTTTTGCTAATAATCATTCGATCGGTAAAAAATAGTCATGAATTTAAAATATTGCCCGATCATGCTGAATTATGCCATTAAGCAGGCACTTTATGGACACTTCAGGTGAATTTCAAGCTTCAAACTATCAAAGATGCTAACGACTGTCTAAGAAATCCAAATTCGCGGCGGCGACCCGTTATAATATAATTCTATCTTGTAAACTTTTATAGGATTGTTATTGCAATGTAAGCCTGAGCTGCGCATGCTTTCCACTTATCGCATTTTTGATAGGCACATACAGCGGGGATCAAAAGTTAAATTGAGTAAGAAATGCGTATTATTCTTTTTGAGAGGGCTACAATGATGGGATATCTCAAAAAGTTGAGAGAAATTGAGATGAGGTTATATGTGTCGAACTAAAAGTTGTGACTCAAGTTCGTATTCAATTAAATGAAGATCTGCGAGACCAAGCTAGGCTATTCCTGGCTCCTGCAAAGGAAAATGGAAAGAAAGGAGAAGGAAAACCAGTGGGCCGTCCTTAATTAATGGTGGAATAGAGCGGAACCAGTAGGGTATAACACAAATTGCCACTGTTCTAATATTTTGTATCACCTCTTTTATGTTTGAAAACAGTCTTGACTTTTGTTGGATAGAGTGGACCAGTTTTGTTAGCATTACTGGTTCAATTCTATTCCACCATTGATTTAGGGCACTCCACTGGTTTTCCTTCTGCTTTCTTTCCATTTTCCTTTGCAGGGGTAGCCCTTGGGCCTTGGTCTCGCAGATTTTCGTTCTACATATATAACCTCATCTCAATTTTTCGAGAAATCCCATCATTATACGATGAGAATTCACGAGATATCCATGCATGGGAGGCATTATACTGTCATAAATATGCAAGTTCAGATCAACAAATCCAATCTCCAACTCACAAGATATCATTTGTTGTAAATTATCGTGATATAAGAAAAATTATCGACTGAACTGAGACTTTTGATCCCCACTGTACTCGCGCGTGAAAGTCGAAATCCTTATAATTTATATGTCATAATTATTTAAAAGCTAGGTTATTGAATCGAAAGAACGTAGTTTTTCTGCATTTTTGGTATCTACTTGTTGACGAATTCGTTAAATAATTAAGAAATAAAAACATTTTATTTCCTTTATGATATAACTAAAAAAAAGATTTTGTATAAATATTATATTTCGATTCAATTGCAAATTCTCATTACATTACTTCTCTTGTCAATTTTGGCGGGAAAAGTCCCGTGTTTCTATACAGTTATAACATATAGAAACACGCTTCTCGACCAATCAGCACGCGCCGGCACGTACTGTAAATCTTATATCATAATAACAATTTGGAAACACGTAAAAACGGAAAGAAGCAAACTGAAATAATGCGGTAATTGCTCTAATGAAATAAATCATAAGGTAAATACTTCCACAGTTACTTATGCCATAATTTTTACTCTATTTCATAGAAAAATTAATGTTACAAGTTGTTGTTGAACTGTGTTGTTTTGCTGGTTAAATCTTGGAATTAGCTATATATATTTGGAAAGGATTAATCTGACTATAATAACATTAAACGTAAAAATGCAATCAAATTGTGATCATTTAAAACTAGTATTCACCTAGAACAAACCTCTTCCACTCCACTATATAATATAGTATACACGCGTACAGCATACACCATGCCAGTTGATTTTTTCCAAAGATAGTATATTTTCTGGTATATTTTCTCCTTCTCTGACAAATTTAAATGACTGACAGTTTATTTACACTACTAACAAAGTGCAGGTCTTGACCTAGCTTAAAACTTGTCAGTTTTTGCAGTGACAATTAGTTAGCGGACTTCTTCATGCCAAGGTCTCAACTATATATGAACTGACTTCGTGGGTAGAAGATGATTGTAGACTCTTGCGGGAGTATCGATATATCAAAGACAAACATTTCGTTTATACAACGAAAATTTATAGTCCATGCATGCGTGTAGGCTACAGGTCATGTTTTGCTTGACTTGTTGTCCAAACACTGCGTAACTTTACAATCTTTAAAATCAGCAACACAGAGTGTGTAAAAAAGCCCCCATATTTTAAAAATACGTGCAATATTGCATCACAAGTCAGTGTTGACCAGAATGTTTCGATTGTCGAGCATCGTGTTTCATAGAGTGTCAACATAGCTAGCGCATTATTTAGCACAAACAGACATTCAATCTAGCAGCATGTATCAACATGTATATATGCATAATTGAGATATAGAAACCAATGATGCAAATAGTTTATATAATAACACACCAGATCATTATCGGTCAACGGCAATCGAACCGCTATAAATTATCACTAAACCGTAGCTGAACTTTTACCGCCTCGCATGCTATAGATTTCTGGATAGTATTATACTATTAAGTTTATAGATTATAACTCGAACTTAATCTACGTATAATACCGACCGTATGAATTCTGTGCTATATTCCACTTAAACTGGTCTGCTGATATCTCTTTGCTTTCGAAACTAAAGCAAAAATCTTTATTCTTTAAAATCAATAATAGTATACATGTATAAGCAGGAAATTATATTTTTGAATTCCATACAACGTTTACTGAATGAAATGTGGTAAATAAGTATGCGAAACCGAAAGCAGCAAAAAATTAGTGCAGTAATTGCTATAATGAAATACATAATAAGGAATATACTTCTACAGTTACTTCTGCCATAGTTCTACTCTATTACTGCGTCGCGCACTGCGCAAGCGCAGTCTAATATTGCGTCGGTGTTTTGCTTTGTTGTTTTTTTCGTGTTTTTTACGTTTTCAACCCGGTCTTCCTGGCCGCGCAGGCCAACTAAGATACTCGTATTTTGAACTCGTCTGATTTCGTATCGAAATATTTTCGGCTAAACACACTTCAAATAGTACCTTAAGCCTAGTAACCCCCACAAAAGAAATATTTTACTGAAACAAAAAATTTAAAAAGTTTGTTGTTTTCGGGATTCGAACTGGGGTCGTGCGAACCAAAAGCAGGAAACTCCATGTAAAATAACACGTACACGAGTCGCTGTGCATGGCCGATAGCGCAGGAAATCTAGACGTCTGTCGTTCGAGAAAATACATACAGGTAATCTAATGCTGGATTCTCGTCTTGTCTTGTTTGATATACTCACTCTACATACACTAGCACACACTGATCGTGGTAAACCTACACTAAAACGGGTTTACAGACAACGATCACATGAATCATGAAAGCCTTGTATGCCATGAAAGCCTTGTATGCTATGAAAGCCTTGTATGCCATTCTATGCCATTTTTCAATCAAACCGCACCTTCCCTTCAAGGGTAAAAACGGCCAGACCGCTCCTATTGAATTTCAGAACAAACAGATTCCTAGAGTACATGATTCCAAACTCAGCCTTATTCACGTATATAGTTAGCTACATCTGCCTAGCACCAATAATGCAGTTTTACCCCTATATTCTGTACGAAGTGCTCTATTTACTAGAAACCCTAAGAAAGGAGCATTTTTCTAAAGGAATAAATATTGACAGGAAATGGGGCATAGTTGCATGCAACGATTGGCGCGACGCACTTACCGCCAGAATATAGGCGTCTTGTTTCATAGAAAAACAATGTTAAACAAGTTGTGGTTGAGTTCTGTTGTTTTGCAGGATAAATCTTGCAAAGGGCCATATTTGACTTTGAAATGGTTAATCTGACTAACATTCAACGTAAAAGTGCCATCATATGACCACTAAAAAAATTAGTTTATAGTATTTACCCATAACAAATCTCTTCACTGCAACCACGAAGGAAGATCAAGAATTCGCAATGAAAAATGTCGTTTGCGGCAGGAATAATCGAGATTAATGTTGTCAACGAGAAAATTTTTAGCGGAATGAATTAATGTCAATTCTTATGGTCTTTTAATTGTAAGTTTGTTGCTGAGACGGAAGACGTAGCGCATGGTTCCTTTTCCGGCACTCAATGCTGGGCAAGTACAAATGAGAACATAATTTTTTCATTTAAGAATTTTAAGCACTACGTATATACACAGCATTCACAATGCCAGGGAATTTTTTTCAAAACGTCCAGCATAATTATTATTTTCTAGTAGTGCTGTTTGCCGCTCGATGATTTGCTTTCTGCGAAAATTAGACCACAAATATGCATATAAAAATGGTTTTGTTTAGCTTTGAAGACATGCAGTGTTTTTAAATTAACATAATTGAAAATTTTTTGTACCACCGGGCAAATGAAGTTACATGGGGACTTTTCGTGGAGATCTTCAAGCCGGTTAAACGCAGCTGTCACTGCCAATTTTAAGTCGATGATATGATTTATGTTTTCCTCCCAATTCATAGGGAAGTTCGTACGCGGAAATGAATATTATGCATGAGTCACTTCTGTGAATTATTATTGTTCACCGGAAGACGGAAAAGGAAAACATCGACGCCTTGCGATGTTGATATCATAATTATACAAAGCAGGTACGTTGTTTGCAAAGGAACAAGGTAAATGAAACAATTACAAAACCGCTGTCACTTATAGCGAGGGCGGAGGAGAATGAAGCTAAGTGTATGCAGTCAAAACATTGTATAATTATATCAATCTTATGTGGGTCCTTTTTAAAAGAGCATACACGCATTTCAGTACAATTTTAAATAAATTATACTGAAATACAACGAATGTTTGATATTAGAAAGACATGCCTTCAACTCGTTTGCTTTATATCTTGACATTGTCTCAGTTGCGAACAGGAATAACAGTCTATAATTGCAGAATGTAAATAATGTCACTTAGTTCATTGTCACTACATGACAATTTAAATACCTTCAATGGATCGCTGCTCTTTCACTAGAGCTCATGGTTTTGGTAAACGATGCAAAATAGGTCTTGTAAAATCAGGAAAGAGAAACACATAACAACCTTCTGGTTCGTTATAGATGTACTTGGTACATTATTATAGACAAATATACAGATCAGACACATTTAATTTAAAAGCGATTATAAATAGGCTTAAATGGCTATCGCTATTTTGCTGAAAGGGAAGAAGATAAATTGATATAATTATGCTGCTAGGAAAATAGTATTAATACGGCCGAAATTTTGACCAATATATTTTTTAATTTTTGGAAATTGAAATTACGCAGCTAGGAAAACAGTATTAATACTTGGGCACACAAAGTCATGCAGTTGTTTGAATTTCAATGACTGACGGTTTGTTTATATTACTGACCAAGCGTAGCCTGCGTAGGTCTTGACTAAGTTTAGAATTCTAGATGGATAGTACAGCTGTTTAGAAACGTTTTGGTAACCGAATATTTTCCCTTAGGTATTTCTGCAGTCTGCCAAATTTAAAAATGTATTGCTCAAAATTTTGATCGTGTTCTCTCAACGTCAACGAGGTTAAAAAATCGCTCACATTCTTGCGAACATTTTAATTCCGATTGTTGATGAATTATAGCGTGTAATTTAACAAGAGATTTTGTTAAAGATATTGTCTTTCCTGTTCCTGATATAATTCCGGATTTTTTCTGCAGTCACTCGTAAGGCAGTTCAACCATATAAAGACTATATACACATTTGAACGCCATCACTTGGCAGAACGTAGTAACAACCCAGGTAAGTAATTCGATCATAAAAAGGTTGCAAAACCTCTGTTCTATTGATCGAGGACTCGGCAAAAAGTGTTGTACTTTGCAATATGTATTTTATACTTTATAGTAAAAGTTAAAGGATAATTATATGCAAATAACATGTCGCAAATTTTTGGTAATGATATATTAAAGCCACGATTATACAACGAAAATCCAGTCCAAACAGGTATAGGGTATAGCCTATAGGTCTAGCTTTCTTTTCCTTGTAGTCTAACACTGCGTAATTTTGCACATGCAGTCGGTATAAAAATAACGCGAATAAATTATTAGGATCAACAATACATGCAGGGTGCGTGAAAAAGTCCGCATATTTTGTAGCTACAATACGTGCATTTTTGCAGCACAAGTCAGTGTTGACCATTGACATTTGAAAGAAAGAGGAAAGACCACTTAACATGAAGTTTATCAATAGCGTCATCAATATTATTATGTAGATATTACCATCATATTTAATAGAATGTCATCATAGCTAGCGCATTATTTAGCACAAACATACATTCAATATAGCTGCATAATAAATTTCATAATATCTACCGGATGAATTCTGTGCTATAGTCCACTAACTCCACTTAAGCTGGAATGCTGATCTCTGTTAGCTTTCCAATTCGAAACTAAAGCAAAACCTTTATACTATTTAAAATCAATAACACAAACAGGCTAGGGTGGAAGTTATTTCGTGTAGAATTTCAACTAATTTCATTCTTATACATTTGAATTCGATACAACGCTTATTGAAAACCAGCCATAATAAAACAAATATTACAGCCACCGTTAACTGTGAAGTTTTTATCAAGTTAGTTTACGTTTCAAACTTTTGGGTTTAACCGGAAATTTTGAATGTTAAACTCTAAACCAACCAGGTTCCACTATGATATTTCGACAGTTGGGCGGAAACTGTCAAAACTGTCGAACTATCACAGTGTAACGTGATTGGTTTAAGTGGTTTATAGTTTAACATTTTAACGTTTCCGGTTAAATCCAAAAATTTGAAACGTAAACAAACGTGATAAAAACTTCACGGTTAACGATGGCTTGCAAATAGCAGTAAATAAAATACTTCTACAAAAACTTCTTTTCTATATTTCTTAGAAAATGCAAAGTTACAAATTTAGTTGAATTGGTTGACTGAATTCCGTTAGCCTATATTGCTCCTTGAATATTGGAATTAGCTATTGCCTGGAATGGATTAATCTGACTAGTAACATTAAACGGGAAAATGCAATCATATGACCATTTAAAAATTAGTATAGTATTTACATATAACAAACCTCTTCAATGCAACCACGAAGA